TATTGAGACCCGCACTTTGTTGTTAGTGTCTGTTTTTTCTTATACATCTCTGCAGCTATTTGTTTTTCGACGAGTTATTTTTGGTCAATTTTTATTTTGATGAAGGTGTAGCGAGACTGTTCATCTTGTTTCAAACAAGGTAAGCTACAGTGCCTTATATTACGGCTTTCAGAAGGTGATATATGAAGGTCTTCTGAAACGCTTTGGTCTCAAAGCTTCCAGAGCACTTAAACTAAGTACCACTGATTTTATTTCACCTTTCAAACTTGTCAGAAAAAAACCTGAAGCCACGGTTTTTTAGAGAGCATGTGTCAACGGTTTTCGGAAGGTGAAATATTAAAGTGCGTGGCACAAAAATTTGCTTTATGGTGCTAATTTGATTTGCGAAATTTCCTCTTCATCTGATTAGACAAATCATCTACTTCGAATATTATGAGACGGTCAGTTGCATCTTTTTTTTTTCTGGACAAAAACTTTTGGCTAAGAAATTGTTGCAGAAAAATTGAGTTGCTATTTTGGATTAAGATAACGATTTTTGCTACTAATTTTATGGTTTCCTTTTTTTTCAGAAAACTGATTATTTGATGAGGATTCATTTCCAAAGTCTGATAGCTGTCATAAAACGTTAATACGTAGAAGCGCGCCTACAGACATTTGCATACACTACACGCTTAATTTTTGCAAATTCTCCAGTAGTCTTTGACGCTTTCATGACTTCTGACTTGTTCTTGTTGAAAACAGTTACGTAGTGTTAATATTTGGCGAGCACTAAAAGCCATCTTTAATTTGAGTGGTTTTACTAAAGCCTTCCAAAAAAAAGAAATAAAGTAGTTGGTGAAATTTTTCATAAAAGGAAATTGTAAAAATTTGAAGGAGAAGATTGTTATTTTTCGTCAGATGGTGAATATGGTGCTCTGTGGGCAATTCTGTCATATCATACTGTGCTGTGGGCAAAAAAACGTAAACTTGAAGGACTCTCAAAAGGTGTAGTGGTTTTGCTAGTAAGCCGTAGTTTTTATTTTGGTGTAATTAATGTTAATAAGGAAAATTAATTAATGGTTGTCTTTTTCAAAAGTGGTTCTAACAAAGTCCTAACCAAGTTGAACTGGGTTTTTGCGAATTTCCCGGTAAAAAAGTGTGCTTTATTTTGGTTACTAATCATTTTCAAGAGACCAGAGTCAACTGCCTTAAATTCTCAAGAATTGGTGCTTATAACATAGAAAGGCGCCTCTCCCGATAGATTTAGGAAGAAAAGTTTCACCGTCGCCTTAAACCGCAACTTGTGGAAGGCATAGAATATTTTTGTGACCATTTGATGGAAAGGACTGAATGATATATAGCACTTTTCCACAATGAAGAGCTTAACTCGTTATAAAATGATCGAAATTTTTAGGTTGCTGGAATTTTTAATGCAGCTATTTCTTCCAATGATCGGATTATGAAAAAGCTAGAACTGAAGACGACTTGGGGGTATATAGGTGCGCCTTAAGGTTTGAACACCTAGCGTTGTAAATTGAAAGCTACAGTTTACTAAATGGCTTTACAAGGCACATTTTTTGGAATTTGGCAAAATGCCCATCTTTTTGTTTTGCTTTTTGGCTACCTGGGAGATATGGCTTTAATTATTGCACGGTCACTGAGTTACTGGAAGCGTAATGTTTGAATTGTTGCATTCTAATAAATCTTGTGCTCTTCACTGGTTAAAGTGATGTCGAAATCAACTCTTAACTTACTTTTTATACATTGAATAATTATTATGCTACCTATATGTTTTTTTACTTTTCACGTGTTTTTTTTTTATCGATGTTAAAACACCCAAACGGTGTTGATATGATGCTTAGAAAAAATTTATCAAAGAAAGCTTTTCTAGTTTAGTGGCGTTGCAAGTAATCGGTAGCTGGATATAGTCATTAATTTTTTTATTAAGTAGCGTGTTAAAAGTGTAATTTTTTCAATTTTTGGATACAGTGAGGGTGAACTACCAATCTTCTAATCCTCTTGCAGCAGTCGCTAGGTACTCGAAAACTGCCAGAGAAGTGTTTAACACTATGTGGTGGATTTTGCTAGTGAGGAGGTTGTAAATATTGGTCTTTATAACCTGTATCTTTAAGCTGTTGCTAAAAAGAAAGTGGAGC